AGCTGCTGCCAAAGAGCCTGGCACACACCCCAGTTATTGTGCCAAGGCCCATGGCTCTGGTTCTCAAACATGAGAGGGTCCTTAAGGTTGGCTATCTGTCTGATGACAGCAGCTTTGATTTCCTGTCAGGATTGCAATCCGAGTCCAGCCTGGCTTGCCACTATGTGCTTGAGCTACTTTGGCAATGCTCCTGCCTTCCTTCCATGACAATTTGAACAAGCTTGTCTGGGCCTAGGGCTAAACCTAGAGCACACTGCTCTGTGCTGGATTTAGCTTAGAGCTTTTGTACTGACTCAGATGTGTGGCCATCTCTTCTATTTACCCTGAACAGCTGTGGGCTTTGTCTGGGTTTGGAATGCTCCCCATAAAAAAGCTAGGAGATAATCCTGAAATCATGGTTAAACTTCCCTCTCTGGTTTAGTTCTCTACCTCTCTCCTTCCAGGATCATAGGCATTGTTGAGGAGTTGGAATACTGGCAAGGATTCACCATGTCATCATTCTCTTCTCCACTGTCCAGAGCAGGATAGAAGCCACAGAAGGGGAACCCTTCCACACACCAGAAGCAGTGTCCCAAGTACTCTGAGAAAACAAAACATATGACCAATTTATTCTGCTCTAACCCTCAATCTGCTTTCACTCTTCTGTTCACTCCCTCCATATACTAATCTCTCTTTCATCCCCCTACCATTCTTCCATTTGTCTTTGTTTTCTCCCACCTTCCACTCTCAGTTGCAGTAAGTGGAACCCAACCCACCCGTTTATCCCTGGCTTGGACTACCATCCCATTCCCCAATAACCATGCCTGAAAATAAAAACTGAAAAATAAAGTGACATAGACATGTTGTCAACAATCATAAAATTTTACTGATTGAAAAAAAAGAGAGAAGGGAAACAGCCATTTCCACCTGTAACAATTTTTATAGGGGAGAAGGAACCAAGGGAGACAATTGGGAGGGGAAGTTGGGGAATTTTGTGGAAACAATCCAAGGCACATATCTGAAATCACAAGTGCATCGGTAGAACAGTCCAGCATATTTCTGGGGTCTGTTTCCCATTCCTTACTGAACACATATATAGGTAGTTCTCATTTAACGACCATTCATTCAGCAACTGTTTAAAGTTACAAAGGTGCTAAACGAGACAACTTATGACCAGTCCTCAAAGTTGCGGCTGTCTCAGCATCCCTGCAACCACGTGATTGTGATCTGGGCACTTGGCAACTGGCTCACACTTATGACAGTTGCAGTGTACTGTGGTCACATGATTGCCATTTATGACCTTCACTCCTGGCTTTGGACAAGTAAAATCAATAGAAAAACTGGCAGGAGGTCACAAATGGCAATCACATAATGTCGCACCTAACAACTATGCGGGATTTGCTTAACAATGGCAGCTGGAACTGCAAACATTGCAGACGTAAGCTGGTGTGGTCACATGACATCACACTTTACAATCACATTGCTTAGCGATGGAGTTGCCACTCCCAATTACTATCGTTAAGTGAGGATTATCTTATGGTGGGCCCAAAAGAACTTATGAGCAATGAGCGGATAGCCTGAGCTTTTTGGTGGAAGCCTGTTTCAGACTAGGGTTCTGCAAGCAAGGGTGGCACGCTTCATCTGCATCATCTATCAGGATAGCATCATGTATGGAAATCTCAGAGGGAAGACCAGGGCTGTCTTCTGACAAAATATAATCCCTGCTCTCAGAGATGTTCTGAAGGATGCAGCACACCATGATGACCTCAACAACAAGATCGTCTTCTAGATCAAGCAGTGTATACAGGGACTTCAGCTTCCTAAAGGCCCTCTCCACTGTCATATGTGCCCTGATGTGGTAATAGTTGAAGTTTTGTTCTTCTGGTGTCTGGGGGCAGTGGTAGGTTGGCATCAGCCATGGCTGCAGCTCCAACCTTTGGTGAGCCAGGATGACTGGGTGGACTGGAACCCATTCACCAGCATAGCAGGACTACTGAAGAAAGTCCCATTCCTCAGCTTTTCTGCCAGTGGGGAGTTCTAGAATCTGTCTGTATCATGGGAGCATCCAGGTTCCCTCACGCACACATCCATAAAGCACCCTTTAGCATCTACCATAGTTTGAAGGACCATGCTGTAGTAGCACTTCCTGTGGCAGAACCTGGGAATGTGGTGTTTTGTTGCAATGATGCAAAAGCGTGTAGAATCAAGTGCATCTCCTGCCTATGGGAAGTCCTGTTCCTGGAAGCCCTGAATGACCATACTCTCATTCCCCACCTTGATGACGTCCTTCAGATATAAATCATTTAGACTACGGATCATAGCCCAGAAGATCCTACACACTGTAGATTTGCCAACACCAAACATGGTGCCCAGACAGAGATATGAAATGCTGAATGCCAGCTTATACAGAGTCAAAGCCAATTTTTTTCTCCACAGGCACAGCATAGTGCATGACTGTATCCTGCCTCTTTACTAGAGGGGCAATTTCCAAGGTAATCTGATTGAAGGTTGCCTGTGATATCTGACAAGTGGCCTAAACTGGGAGTCATCCCATTGGTTGAGGTCCTGCAGCCATGTCCATGCAGCTTCTGGTGGTGAAATGGACCAACCTCACTCAGAACCAGCATTAAGGTGGTCTTCAAACCCCAGAGGTAGCTGCGCACTATACTTGTTCCAAAGCAACAGCAGTGCTCACCCCTTTGGATGAAAGCCTGACAGGATGAGTGGTAAGTGGTTGGTGATTATGTGCCTCTAAAACCAAAGCAGGGGAGCAGTGCCATATGGCTGCAAAGGTGATGTAAAACCTCCTCGTCCAGTGCCCCTCTCTCTTGGGACAGTCCTCCAAGGCTGCGTTAAGTATTTTCAGTCAACTGACACCATCCGCCACACCTGCCTAGGTGGATTGAGAGAATGGAAAGATGCCAGGGAGGTCCAGGGATGTCAATCCACATTATCCCAGGCATGAAGAAGTGCTTCTGCCCATCACATCCAAGGGAGTGTGAGTCAGGACCTTAGTAGGATATCCAGTGTTTGGTCACAGGCAACTGTCCCTAATAGTGACAATGCCAAATAATGAAATGTGCATTGTGACATCATAGTACAAACTGCACCCTTTCATACTTCTTTTGCAACACTGTGCACAAATACATAAGGGGCAGAGTTTGCACGGCAACATCATGATGCCCTTTTTGTCACTCGGCCTCCCTTATGGATACTGATGCCTATGGTGCTCAGAAGATTGCCCAAAACTATAGAGTGGAGGTAAGCAAGTAATGCAAGTTAGGAGCATAACTATCATTGATGAATGCTAAGACCACTGGACTTCATATTTATAGGAGTAAGTATACAACCCATGCCATACACTGAGTGCTAGTCCTACCACCTCCAAAATCAGGACTGGCTACACTGTCCTGCTGGCCCATGGCTGCCACAGGAGCAGGCAAATACCATTAGGTGCAGCCATCCAGTTAACCCTGTGCGGTGGGTAAAGCCTGCCTGCAGCTTGACCAGGGGGCCAACGATTACACAATACCTCTGCCACAAACGATTTAGTCACAACTGAAAAGTACAGCCCAAGTGGAGCAACCAGGCTAGTGAACGTCCTGGATGTGCTGATTGGAAGCAGCCGAACAGCATGTGCACAGAGGAGCGGGAGAGAAGAAAGGCCCAATGGGTGAGTACTGTGTTTTCAGTTCCATCTGCCTCAAAGAGAGTTGGCATCTTGACAAATGTTGTTTCCTCCCCCTCCTGTCCCCGTTCATTCAATCCATTTATATGGCCACCCAACCTACAAATGTATTTAGGGGAAGCTAATACCAGTTAAAAAATGACAAAGAGATCAAAGCACAACACTTTTAAAATTTGCATCTGAGGTTGCTCACATATCAACTAGTCGAGCTATTGTCTACATGCAAGCATACGCCGCTCTTAAAAATCAGGAGTGAGGTAACACCTTTTCCAACTAACACATATTATTAAAAGGCACAAGCTTTTGTGAGCAGCTCCAGTTCATGGAAGCTAAAGCCCGTTAGTCAGAAAAGGTGCCACATTGACACGGCTCTCCTCCTACATCTACTACTTTTAAAACTGGCTGCTTCTCTGCAGATGCTCTGCTCATCTGTTGACTACAGGGAACTTGCTCATCCCACAGCAGGTTCAAGTTTAAAATAGAGGGATCTCCAGCTTTTGAGCTCCTGTGACCTCCTTCTCTCTGGGACTCCAATGAAAATTAACAAAGGGTAGGGGAAGGAGTTACACTCCCCCTGGCTCCAGCAGTGTGGGGAGGATCAACCTCCTTTGGTGTCCAAGGAGACCGCAGCATAGTAGAACATGAAGGAACTTTCTCCAGAAGTTATTTTTAGAGAGTAGTTTTGACCAGAGGTGACTGGATCCTTGGAGAATGAGCTCTGAGTCCACCCAGACCTGATGGCTCCATATGGCTACACTGAGTCCAGTCACATCACGTGCCCTTTGAATTTGACCTGGAGAAGAGGGTTTGTTATCAAAACCAAGGAGGGACAGCTCACTGGTCAAAGCTCCTTCATGGGTGGGTCCATGTTAGTTTTGGGGCAGCAATACAGAACCAATTTGCCAATGCCTTCTTTGGGGATATTTTTTCAACTTCCTGGACTGGGCTACCACCTCAATTTCCTGGTAATGTCCCATCTAGATACTACCTTTGCGCAACCCTGCTTAACCATCTAAGTGAAGGAAATGAAAGGACTCTTCCAGTTATTCCCCAGGAAACAGCATTTCCAACCTTATCCCTTAGCCAAGGCTGTTGGCTCCATATCAAGGGCCTATCCATTAGGAACTGCATTTATCTAAAATCGAGCTGATGTTAACAGAATCAAGCATTTGAAATTGCAGAGTTTTGTTTCTGCCCCCGCAATATTCCATCCGCCTTCCCTGGATTAATGCCTGGGTTACGATTCCAGCAAGGAGAGATGACCCTTTTTTCCCCCAACCCTGCTTCTTGAAAATGAGCACCTGGTTCTCCACCCCAGTTCTCCAAAATTGTAGTTTTATTTCTTTGTTCCATCCTCTCCCCACATTAGCTTCATTTCCTTGGTCAAAGACCTCCACTGGATTATCTTCTTTCACAAAGTAGCAAGGTAGGTGATTTCACTATTGTCCACTCCAAGACAAAAACACAAACACACGAGCATACCCTGCTACCTCTCTGAGGCCAAGAATTCAGTTCCTTTAATTAGGAACTGAACAGGGGACAATCTTCCTCCTCCTCCTGTGGGTCTCTTGAGCAGTATTTGCTGCACTTTCAAAACGACCTGATTTGCTTTGACAGTTGTTTCTACTTTATTTTACATTTCACAATTACTTCATGACCAAAGAAAGGCTTACAAGTTATACAGTTCAACTTACCATAAACTAGATTTAGAATGTGCCTCTTTCAACTCTCTTCATTCCAGCATCTTACTGTCAAACAATTTTAGTTCTTCCTTCTTCCGGGAAGAATTGCATGATTTGACCAACGCTGTTTGCTGACTCTGTTTAGCTTTATGTTAATAAATTCTAGCTGCCTTTCAGAATTAACCTCCCATTCCCACTCCCCCCTCACAACATAGCAAAACAGGATTGGATCCAGAGTGAAGTCTGAGTGATGGGGCTGGCCCAAGCTTACCCCCATGTCCCTTCTGACCATAACGGCTTCCCCCAACCCATTCAAAACACTTCACCAAGGACTGGGGAGTCCTTCTGTGCCCAAATGGGAGGGTTCTGAATGGAAAGGGGAACTTCGTAGAAGTCAGGCAGAGGCTGAATCCAGAAACCAGGTTGAGAGAGTTCTTTAAAATTTCTGCAATTATCAATCTTTTTTCTATACCTCCCTTGGTTTTTTTTCACTCTCTCTCTCTCTCTGGATGTGTAATTAATTACGACTCCCCCCGTGCAGAATCACCCATGTCCAGTAAATGATTTCAACTTCACAGCCCACCTATTGGTCTCTTCCCTGTGTGACTTCTTCAGTGTGAAGACCATTTGCCATTCACACCAAAGCTCTTCTCACATTCCAAACATATAAACTTTTGCCCTTCTCTGGATCCTTTAAGGTCTCTTTTGGCCTCCCATACAACATTAGGTTTCTCCTCCTTTAGATGGCTTCCTTTTTGGGAGTAGGCTTTGACAGAAACTAGACTAAATTGATGACTCGACTTTCACAATCAATGCATTTATACGGTTGCTCCCCTGTGTAGTGATTTTGATACGCGGGAAGGTTATCGCTGACAATGAAGCTCTTCCCACACTCTGCGCAGATGTAGGCTTGCTCCCCGGGGTGATCCCGCTGATGCCTATCAAGGCTGCCCTTACGACTGTAGCTTCTTCCGCAATTCATGCACTTAAAGGGTTTCTCCCCCGTGTGGGTTCTCTGATGTGTGGTGAGGATCGATTTCAGGCTGAAGTATTTCCCGCATTCCAGGCACTGATAGGGTTTCTCCCCTGTGTGGGTTCTCTTGTGCCTCTTGAGGCTTCCACTACGATTGAAGCGTATCCCGCACTCTGTACATTTGTATGGTTTCTCCCCTGTGTGGGTTCTTTGATGTGCAGTAAGAGTTCCACTGTCACTGAAGCTCTTTCCACACTCTGTACATTGATATGGCTTCTCCCCTGTGTGGGTCACGCGGTGCCTGTTGAAGTCTGATTTATATTTGCATATCTTCCCACACACAGGACACTTGATCCTCCACTTCCCTTGGTGACCCTCTTGTGGGACCAGGAGTTCATGGATGTCAGCATCCTGAAAGGTGGAAGATTTCTTCCTGCTCTTTAATGGTTTTGGAGGCTCTTTTTGATTTTGAAATGTCTCTTTTCCTGCTTCAGGGCTGGTTGTTTCTGATGATTCCACAGAGGATTCTCCGTAACTCTCAGCGTCCTGCCAATCACCTGCTTGGAGAAAGAAAGAAAGAAACCCCCTCTTAAGAGTTTATCTCTAAGACTCCCCACCCCCCGCACTTTATCTTTCAATGAAAACCTAGATTATCTCCCAAATTAATTTCAACATTTTTACAGCCCATTTCTCATATGATTGTAATGAAATCCTCCCAGCCAGGGATGGGATGCTTCTAAAATATTGCGGGACCAGAAAAGATGTATATTCCTTCGTTATCAGACAAATGGGTAGTGACATCTCCCTTGTATCCAGTCGCACTCAGGAAGATGATTAAAGGGATCAAGGAGGCCCTGCCTTAATGTACTCACTGATAAGGTGGGAGGGGCTAAAGGGCTCATAACCTCCTTGATGGCTTTGATGGACATATGGGGGATGTTGCTGCCTGATGGTTTGCCAAGCAGATGGACCATTTCAGCTTCCTCCTCTTACCAGAGCTCTGGGGAAGCACGCCTCTGAGGTGGGAAATTTTGTAGAATATCAAATGTACATGAGTGCAACAGGCAACACTTTGCTAGGAGAATTCACAGTCCAAAGGATCAATCATTCTTTGGTGAGATTAAACAAAAGTTGGATAACTTCCCAAGGAACACTGTCAGCCATTTGCTTCCCTGACAAGCAATGGTCCCACCATACATGGGATCTCTCCAGAACAGTATTTCTCAATCTTGGCCTCTTTAAACAGTGTGGACTTCAACTCCCAGAATTCCCCAGCCATTACAGAAAAGATTCCTTACCCCAGGACAGGAAGGAAGTGTGAGAAAAAGTCTCTGAGTAACTCCACCTTCATTACACTAGGTATAAGTCGGTCTGGAGAATTACTTCGTCAGGCTTTCAAGAATCTGTTACATTACCTTACTAGCAAGAGTTCATTCCAGAAACCCAAATGGTTCTTGTTTTCTGAGTCTGCAAGACTCACCGAGCTTGATAAGAGCACAGAAATGTAGTATCAAGTGGTTATGAACAGAGAGAGTATACTTTAAGCTCAGTTCATTCGCACAGGGGAAGCAAAGGAAATTATTTTAAATCTGAGCATATTTCAGCACATGGAAAGCTCAATATAGAGTCCTCCTTCCTTCTTATCAGAAGATAACAAAATCCCAGCTGGCCTATTTGGTCGAGCATCCTGGGAAGTTTGCAAGCTGTTGGTCTCCTGGTAATCCAAAAAACAGATTTTGCCCTTTTTCAAAATGGAGGCAATCAGGCCAAGCTCACATCAACACAAATCCAGGACAATTTTACCCCAGTCACCTGTTTCCACTTGGCCCTCTATACTGTGCAAGGATAAATAACAAAAATAGGAAATCATCACTTCAGCCTCCATCAATCAAGCAAGAAGCATCCTTACCCACAGAAGCAACATTCTCATTGCTCTCCAGCATGACTTCCTTGCGCTGAGCCCTCTGGCTTTGATTTAGGAGAACCAACTTCTTCAGCCACTTGTTTAAAGATCAGCCTCTAAAAAGGGGGGAAAGCTGGGTGACTTTGGGCCAGTCCCTCTCTCTCAGCCCAACCCACCTCACAGGTTGTTGTAGGGAAAATAGGAGGAGGAAGGAGTATGATGTATGTCCACCACCTTGAGTTATAAAAAATAATAAAGGTGAGATAAAAATCAAATAAATAAATGCCCATCAAATATTATCTCCCCAATATTATTATATTGGTCCAGGACACCCATCTTACTCAGCTTACCTTTGCTTTTTATGGACAGGTGGATGCATTTCCAAGCAAGTCTATACTTCAACCACCAGA